TATTTAATAAGTTAAATAAGGTTGAAAGTTGAAAGCACATGATTTTCAAATCGGTATGTTGAGAATAAAAATGATTCGGTTATAGTTTAATTGCATAAAAACCAACATTATATTTCCAACTTTTTGCTGAAAATTGATACTTTATATTTGAAATCGATTTACTTTGTAAAATCAACAGCGTTATAATCAAATAATAGGATGTGATGTTTAATTATATTTTATTACTTGATCTTTAATATTTGGAAAAGTTTCCAAGGATAAAATATGATTAATGAATTATGTAAGTATTTTAACTTTTATAGGAAACCTTTGTTTATAGAATAAATTAGCTTATAAGTTTTGCATACCATTGCGTGTGATCAAATTTGCCTTTATCATGTATCTTTTTGTAATATGTTTTTTTTTTATCCTAGTCGCTTACTAAACAAAGTGTAAGTGAAAACAAGAAACTATAAGTAAAGTGGCTAACACATTTTTTTTATCCCATATTGCTTAAGAAACAAAATTCAAAGGAATATAAACATCTACAAGTGAAGAAGCTAAAACATTTTTCCTTATATCTTTGTTCTCGTGTTCTTGATTGCGACCGGTTTAAGTATCAATTGCAACATTCTTGGAATATTATAATAGAATTCCATGGAAATCATGTAACATTATTTTTCAATTATTTTTGTTGAAAATTGATACTTTATAATCACAATTGACTAATTATGTAAACTCAACATCGTTATAATCAAATAATAGAATGTTTAATTATATTTTTTCCATTGAACTTTAATATTTGGAAAAGTTTGTAAGGATAAAAAGTGACTACTGAATTATATAACTATTTTAAAATTTAAGAGAAACATTTATTTATAGGATAAAATATATTATTAAGTTTTGTATACCATAGCGACGTGGGATAATCATTTATCCCACATCACTTAAGAAACAAAATGAAAGTGAAAGCAAACAACTATAAGTAAAGGGGTTAAGATATTTTTTATCCTACATGTTTTGAGAAACAACAATCAATGAAATACAAACATTTATAAGTAAAGAAGTAAGAACATTTTTTTTATATCTTTGTTCTCTTGTGCTTTTTATTGTAAATAGTTTAGATATCAATCGCAACATTCAAGGTCATTGTCAACCACAAAAGTTCTTTTTTGGTAGAATTATCTTATTTTCTATTTTTTGTGATGTCCAACAATACTAGAATATAAAATAATGTTATTATGATGACCTTATTTAATGAATATGCAATCATCATAAACTTTAAAAAAAAAAACCTTTATGGAAAGCGTTAAGAAAATCCTTTAACACTTATATAACTATAATGTTCAATTTAATTTTTTTCAACAATGTTCAAACATTCAATGTAAATAAAAATTATGTATATGTATGGTGATGATTTGAAAGAAGTTTACTTGTGTCACAATAGTGGACTATGAAAATCGACATACTATGAGTATGAGTGAGTAACGTAACAGTATACCTACTTTCGGAACCAGAATCGTCTCGTAAACGTCTATTTCAGAACTAGAACCGTCTTAAGTAGTTCCGGTTTAATTTTTTTGGAACCGCTACTTGTCGGATACCCGTTCTCATTATATGCTACTCATTTTTTTTAATATAAATATGTTTTTAGCTATAATGTACTAACTTAAATACACATATGAATTACCATTATTAGTATTGGGATTTAAAATTTAGATTTTGGTAGAGTATGTTTAAGTACAAGATATTATGCATTTCTTACCTACATGTTAATAAAGTTTTAAGTAGTGGTTGTTGTACATCACTAATAACACCAAATATTGATATATAATAATACAAAATATTGATATCGATATTAAACATACATAATATAATCAGTGCTAGACTTTTAGCCCAATAAAATGTTGGTTAAAGTGAAACCACATAACAATTTAGAACCTTTAATCATATACATTGGCGGAGGCTCTTAGAGGCCTAGAGAGGCCATGGCCTCCCCGATTTTGAGGTTGATAATACATATATGTATATAGGTTAGTTACGAAAAAATCATTAATATGACTAATTGGCCCCTGATTATGATCGTCCTATAATGATGTAATATAACTCATAAAATTTACCTTAAGATACTAGATAAAGAATCAACCAAAAAGTCTGCAAATCACTGAAAAAATCAAAACCAACCTTCATTCGTTCGAAAACCAAATCATAGAAGAAATTACTCTCAAACTCTATAAAAGCAAATAATCATAATCTAATTTACAACTTTTTTAACTCAAGTTTTGAGTTTATGAAAACAATAAACCAAAAATACTTATTCCAGCCAACGAAAAAATATATCTAAAAGCTGCCGATAAGAAAACATCGTCGTTGAAAGAAGAAATCTCAAATCTGACCAGAAACCGCAACAAGTTGTTTGGCTCCTCACACCGGTCATGGGACTGCTTGCCTCTAACCTCCGGTGTGCTCTTTGTTGGCTGCTGCCCTTTTCCTCTCATGTCTCCTCACCACCGGCGCAACAATGAAGTTGTACGTATTCCCTTTGCATCTCTCTTTTTACTTCCATCCTACTCATAAATAAATAAGATTGTTTATACTTTGATTACTGTGAAGATATCTACACAAAATATATGATATAGACTTTTGAGTCTAGAAGCTACCACAGTGTAAATAAGTGAATAACTACTATTACTTTATTAAATAGAAATTTCTAGCCTGTTATTACTAGTTAGTATAGTTAAAAATAGATAAAGAAATCGTTAGTAGCTTAGTGTACTTAGAAATTTATAATAAAACATATTTATTAAGTTTACTTATATGTTTTTGTTTTAAAAAAATGATATAGTCAGTGTAGACACTAAAGTAATTACTAATTACTAAGATATGAATATATAACACTATGACATACAGACAACTAAAATCCTAATATATCAAAAATCCTAATCCTAATATATTAGAAATCGTAATGTATCATGAAAATGTAAGACCATAAGACGACCAAACAAAATAAAGAAATAATTAGCATGGTTAGAATTTTATATTAAAAACTATATTTATTAAACTTGTTTATATGTTTTCGTTTTGAAAATCTTATTTCGGCCCCCGTAATTACAGTTTTCGTGTTCCACCCCTGATCATATAAACATTTTTACATTATTATAAATTTCTATTATTATAAGATAGAGATTTATACAAAAGTTGACTTTAGTTTAAGTAATATTAACCAAACATTAAGTCATAACTAGTTGGAAATGAAAATGATAATGTATGCTTATCTATAGATTGAACAGTTACACATAAACTTTAAACCTGGGTACTTGGTTAAGAATCGGTTCCTCCGGTTCCAATTTGGTTCCAATATTCTAAGAACCAGCGGTTTAGATTCCGGTTTTGGTTTTGGGTGGGATACCACTTATGCTCACCCCTAAATATGAGCATGGAAACGAATCATTTTGTAAGTGTTTAACTATTTTTTTAATAACTTTTAAGTTTTAATACTTCTAAAAGTTGAAACCAAATAATAAAATAGTTAAGACTTTGAGATAAAAATGAGTTTTTATAATGAAATGGCCACTAATAAATAATAGTAATAGAACCGACCCGGGTCCCGGGTTTAAAGAATGACTGTATCCGGGTTCTGGGTAATCCAATTTTCAGGTCCTTTGGGTCGAGGTAAACTGGGTTTAAGAATCGGAACCGTTTTAGGAACCGGAACCGATTTTAGGGGTCAGGACCGATTTTTATGAAAAGTTTAAAATATCAATATCTCATTCGTTTGAACTCATATTAGCATGATTTTTTTTCCAGAGTGTAGTTTATAGTTTGTACATGGTTTTAGAATATAATTTTGTCATTTTTGAGTTAATATTCATTGAATTACAGTCCCCCAAAGTCGGGATATCAAAACTGTGAATTTTTTGTTTTTCAGCTTTATTTTTATATTTTGTGAAATTTTTAAAATACAAATCCAATTTGTTTGATGTCGAATTATCATGAGGTTTTTTTCTACTGTATAGTTTAGAGTTTTTAAATGATTTTAGACTATAATTTTGTGATTTTTGGTTTCATATTCATTGACTTACATTCCCCCAAAGTCGGGATATCAATGTAGTGAATTTTCTATTTTTCAGCTTTATTTTTATGTTTTGTGAAAATTTAAAAATGCATATCTAATTCGTTTGAAGTCGGGTTATCATGAGGTTTTTTGCAACATGTATTTTAGAGTTTGTAGATTATTTTAGACTATACTTTTATCATTTTTGGTTTCATATTCATTGACTTAAAGTCCCCAAAAATCGAGATATCAATGCTGTGAATTTTATGTTTTTCAGTTTTATTTTTATATTTTTGTGAAATTTTAAAAATACATATCTAATTCATTTGAAGTCGGATTATCATGAGGTTTTTTGCAACGTATAGTTTAGAGTTTGTATATGGTTTTAGATTATAATTTTGTCATTTTCCGGTTCTAGACTCACTTTACCTGGTTCTACCCGACCTACTTTAATGTTTACAGGTTTTTAGATTCTAGACCTATTTTACTCGGAACCGAACTAGAATCGGTTCCTATATACACGTTCGGTTTTCGGTCCTACAAAATCCCGTTAACCGGTTTCCAAATTTTCCAAAGTTCGTGTCTACCTATCCGGGTTTAGACCAACTCTAATTCCTAGACTTACTCATAAAAGAAAGGGATAATGACTTAAAAGGGTAACATATTATTGGTTTTGTACACATTTAGTCCTTGAATTTTTTTTTGTCCACATTTTACCCTTGAACTTGTTGTTGTGTATAAATTAAGTCATTATTACCGGTTGCTTCCAGTTAAGCTGGTCATTTTGTGTTTTACTGGTTTACGTGGCAATTACGTGGCAGTTACCCCCTTTCACGCTCATTTATCAAGAAGCCTCATTTACGAACGAAGATTAATTAGGGTTATATTGTCTTTATTCTCATAATTCGTTCTTGATCGGTTCCACATTACTCACACTTCTCTTCTCTCAAAACACCATTCTGATTCAATGGAGGAAAATCAAGCTTTTTCCAAAAGTCAATGTACACTATAATGGTACTTTTGTGCCTAATTTGTTAGTGTATTTTGCTCCACAAGTACTACGTCTGAATGAAGATGCAAACGAGTTAGGTTTCTCCGATTTCATCAAATATGTTGAGAAGCTTATCGATTTTCAATGCAAGCATGTGTATTATTGTATACCTGAAGTGAGATTGAGTGAGGGGCTCCAAACACTACAAAATGAATGTGACTACTCTGAGTTTCTTGAGGTTTCAAATGCTAACAGACATGTGGATGTGTATATTGACCATGATAATGAACCGTTATTTGAGTGGATTTAGAAAGAAGAACCAGACGATGAAGACCTTGTGTATTCAGAAGAAGATGTCGACTCTATTTTGGCATATGATGAGAACTGTGAACATGAAGAGTATGAATATGTTACATCAAGCAAAATAATCTTCAAAAGAACCTATAATGATAAGTTTTTGAACAAGTTATTTCCAGTAGTTATTGAAGATGAAGATGAAAAAGGCATTCAACTTTCAGTTGTCTACCCTAGGCATGATGCTACTCAGGAATGGAGGAAGATGAAGCTTGAACTAGGTATGAGATTCTCTTCTCCTGCTGAACTTAAGTCATCTGTCAGTAACTATGCAGTTGCACATGGATATGACTTGTATTATGAGAAGAATGACAAGGATAGGTTGCTTGTAAAGTGTTGTAAAGGAAAACGACCACAATGCCCTTTTAGAGTATAGGCTTCCTAGATGAAAGATGAACAAACATTTTAAATAAAGTCTCTTAGAGAAGACCATGGTTGTTCAAGGGCATTCAAACTTGGTTCAATTGCTACCTACAAGTGGATAAGGAAACAATTTGTCACTGATATTTTGGAGTCACCTAAAATGAGTCTGAGGAAGATGAAAGCTATGGTATCCAAGTTATTCAACATAAATGTTAGTGTTGGACAATGTAGGAATGCAAAAAGATTTGCAGTGTGAAATCGAGGGTGATTTGAAGGATCATTATTCCAAGCTGTGGGATTATGGAGCTGAAATTAAAAGGGCTAACCCAATATCTCATGTAGAAGTGTATGTGCAGCCCCAAAATAATTCTATTGTGGTGTTTGAAAGGTTTTATGTGAGTTTTAAAGGAGTTGTTGATCGATGGTTAGATGGGTGTAGGAAGATTATTGGGATAGATGGATGTTTTCTGAAGGGCATCTGTAAAGGAGAGCTCCTCTCAGCAGTAGGCAGGGATGGAAACAATAACATTTACCCAATAGCTTGGGAAGTAGTAAATGTTGAGAACAAGAATACTTGGAAGTGGTTCTTGGACAATCTAACGGAAGACATAGATGAAGGGGGAAATGGTAATGGAATCACATTAATGTCAGATGGACACAAGGTATATATATACACTACTTTTATTTTACAGAAATTACCTTTTACATAAACTAACATTCCAAATCAATGCAGGGTATAATGGAGGTTGTGAAAGAAAGATGTCCAAAAATTGAGCATAGGTTGTGTGCTAGGCACATCCTTGCTAACTTCCATAAAACGTTTAAGGGTGAGTGCTACATTAAACCTTATTGGAGAACTGTAAAGGCAACTACAATTCCAAAATTTGAACTTGCAATGGAAGAAATCAAGAGTTTTGATGTAGGGGCATATGATTATCTCATTAAAAGGGACCCCAAGTGTTGGTCAAGGGATTTTTTTTAAGGTTGGAATGGGATGTGATGCAATGGAAAATGGTGTGTCTGAGAGCTTCAATGTTGCTATTGAAGAAGCTAGAAAGAAGCCATTGATCACTATGTTGGAGGACATAAGGGTATTTGTGATGGAGAGATTGTACATGCAGAAAGGGAAAGGATTGGGCTGGGATTTGGCAATTTGTCCAACTATCAGAAGGAAACTTGGTAAACTAAAGAAGTTGAGAATGTTAGTTGTTACAAACACTTTTACTTACTTTTTGTACATGCTAGTGCTAACTAACTTTTTGAATTGACAGATTTTGGGCATCATATGTTAGTGGATACAAGCAGTTGGAAGTTGTGCAATGTAATGAAAGGTATGGTGTTGACTTGGAGAAGAGAGAATGTGGATGCAGAGGTTGGCAATTGACAGGAATTCCTTGTGTACATGCCATATGTGCCATATCTTCCTTGAATCTTGATCCAGAGGAATTTGTTGCAGAGTGGTTTACTAAATCTGCATTTCTTAGGGCCTATGAGTACACCATAAATCCCCTGAATGATAGTACCTTGTGGCCCCACATGCCTGATTTTCACCAGATACTACCTCTTATTAGGAGGAGGTTACCTGGTAGGCCATGTGTGAAAAGAAAAAGAGACCAAGCAGAAAATGAACTCAGTGGGAACACAAGGCATTGAAGAGAAATGTTATCAAGATTATGAAAGAAATTATGATTTAAGTGATCGAAAAGTAAGAACACGAAGAGTAAATATTAATCAGATCTTATATTGATAAAGACTGATTACAAGACTTAAGCAGAAAGGATATTTGAGTTCCAAAGTTATCCTCTACTTCTATCCTCAGTCCCTATTTATAGGGAACCTGAGTGTACAAAAAGTATACTAAGTCTATTACAATATGCTTCGCATAAAACTGACTTAGTAAAATAACTAAAAATGCGAAACTAAACAAACACACAATTTGACTTTTACAATTTAACCTCTACAATCTCCCCCTTTGTAAACAGTCGAAGCTATTCAGTCCATAAGCCTTTGAATAGCTGAGTGAATTGTCTTTCGCACTTCTCCATACCTAGGAAATCACCTTCTTGAGCTACTTCTTGTCTCCTTCATTATTCTTCTTGCAGTTGTTCATATGAACAATAAAGTGCGTATATTGCGAAGAAGTATATCTTTCAACCTCTGAGACCTTAAACAAAAATTTATTGGGCTTTCCCTTCGTATCTCTTCCCGAAAACACCATAGCGAAAGGTTTCAGGCATATTTCCCCAACAACATAATTTGATAATGCTGACTGTGTTAAGGTTTCTTCCCAAGGGATGTTCACTTTCCTTCCCAAAGTAGTTGCCAATTCTACATCAGTTAGAGCCAAACAATCGAAGTAATTGATGATATACATCTTGACATGTGCGAACCCGATCTTAAACACTTCAGTCTCAGATCCTTTGAGCTTATTCTCTTCCATATGTTTCAAAATGAGAGCCACTTGAATCAAATCATTGCAAGTCATCAGTGGGAAGTCAGCTATTGTGAAGTCATACTGATTGTTATCAGCTCGAATAACAAAGTAACAAAAATTCTGAAGCATGTCTTCAAACTTCGTATCTTTATGGATCGTTAACACCTTTTTGATCTTCATTAAAGACCATACTTCATCTGGATTCTTCCCCAATACAGCATGAAATCTGATTTTCATGTGTATGTAGTCAACAGGATTATCAAACTTCTCACTAATCTTGAATTGAGTTGTAATGAATAGCATTTCGTTAATCGGAAAATCTAACTGATAATTGTCTGAATTCGCAATATCATAACTTCTCTTTGGCTTCTTCTCGAATTCATACATTTCCCTTCCCACAATTTTTGACTCTATAGTTTCATAAGAGTACAGCTTCGCAGGATCTCCTTTGTTCATTGTAGGAGGATCACTTGCCCTTTGCCTCATAATACTTTGGACTTGTCTCATTCTTTCCAACTCAGCCTCTACTTCAGCTTTCTTCTCCTCCTTTGTTTTTTCGTACAAAATTCCTTTTCCTCTTCCCACAATATCAGATTGAGGTTTCGTACTTGAACTTCCTTCTTTTGCCCCAATCGATATTCCTTTGGCAATTGGTCTTGTGGTTATTGTTGTTGAGGAAATTGGCATCGTAAGTATTGGAAGAGTAGATTTGAGCTAAGTGGATATTACTTTTCCCACGGTCTTCGCATCATCCTCTTTACTTAAATTTTTCTCTCCCCCTTGCACCCCTGTGAAAGCAAGTGGGGCACTCGTTGGTAGTAAAGTGGAGAAGTTCACAATCGGAGCCAGTGCCTTCTGAATTGCTTGTTCCAAAGTATTTACTTTGAGAGTCAAGAATTCAGAAGTAAGAATAGATGAAGATGAAGATTGCGAAATCAAGGCCTTTAACTCAGTCACCATTTGAATCAACTGATCAAACTTCGCCATATCTTCTTTATGATTCGCATCAATGATAGGAGCAGCAATAATTTTGTTGATGTCTTAGACAACTACATCAACCCTCTTCTGAACTTTGAAGTCGATGGAATTACGAGCAATTTGCCTTTCTATTTGAAGAATAAGACCAGAGCTTTCTAGGGTGAGAAGCTTGGTTCTTCAATTTCATTGTTGAGTGGTTCGATAGGTTTGACCTGACAGCTTTTGTAGCTCGGTAGGAAGCATGTGGGTTTGGTTTACGCGACTAGGCCTTTTTGAATGGTAGGACATTTACTCATCCTTCTGGGCAACCTTAGCCCGAAGCTCATGGCAGGACTCGTACTATATCTGTCCCAAGCTTCTGTGCTTGAATATTGTCTGCTACATGCGCGACATTCCCGAAGGTCTCCAGTAAATACATGTGATAAGGCTTCGGGAAGTATAACACTCCTCTGGTGCGTGTTTTGGAGTTCCACAGCGAGAGATGACCCAAAGGTCCGTGCTGGATGTTTATGAGAGACAATAGTTTCAATATTCGGGGGGGGGGGGGGGTAGGCGAAGGGCCCTTTTGTAGACGTTAACTCGGGAAGGTGAGGGCTATATCAATCAAAATTGGATAAGGACAACAATATCTTTTTAGATAACATGAGATAAGTTGTATTCGAAAGAAGAGATCACTAGAGTGATAGAGTGTCCTGTATTTCTTTTCTGTGTGTTCCGTTTTGTTTGATGTTATGATTATTGTAGATGATTCATACCGCAGTGTCTAGCACTGGTAGTGGGTGTGTTTTCGATAGCCAGTAATGATACTTGATATCATGATTCCTGACAGGTCTCCTTACGATCGAGCAGTATATGATTGTCGTATGTAAATTGATATCGTGAAATCGTCGAGTGGGTGACCCCACTCAACCCCTAATACTAGACATGGAATCGGAGTCAGGATGGAATTATTTGTTTCAAGACTTTAGTATTTTGATTTTAATTAACCCCGATGTATGGACAAGGTCATCACAACTTACAGGTAATGATATTAAGGTCATATATGAATGTCTTTGGGTTGATTTGTATGAGAGAGAATGTTTTAGCTACTTTTTAGAAGGAAGGTTACTTTAGTAAGCATACCAATTTCATTGCAAACATATAGTACTTAAATGTTTTGTTGTTGGGAACATTACAAAAGTCCTAACATGGTTCCCTTGTTGCTCTTGTTGGTGTGTTCATCACACTCCTCCTGTCCCTTCGTCATTCTTCTCAGTTGGACATTCTCTCTTGAAGTGTCCCGTTTCACCGCATAGGTAGCATACTGGGCCTACCTTGGTGCAGGTGATTGAAGGGAGGTGATGGGCTGGGGCCCTATAGAAACGGACGGTATGCCCTTTCCTGTTGCAGTTTTTACAGTGTAACTCCCGGCAAGCCCCATAGTGATGAAAGCCACTTTGGGAGTGATCCCTCATATGGTATGGCCGGCATTTGGGTGGCAGACCCCGTGGCTAGTGTCGAGGCATGTGTCATTACTGCTGTTGTAATGGTAGGGGCGGCCCTAGGTTGTTGTTCTTTTAGTGTATCCTTGAGATTGGTGGCGCTCTTTCATGTTCCAAAAC